TTTTTTTTTTTGGGGGGGGGGAAGAGGCCGACTCTGTAAACCGCTTAGAGAGGGCTGTGAAGAGGTTATATAAGTGCTACTGCTACCTATTTATCTACTCGCCTTTGCATGCTTTTGAACTGTTAGGTGGGCAGGAGCTGAGGGCGAGGAAGGGAGCTTGCCCCTTTCTCAAGGCGCCCGGGGTCTCGAACCTGGGCTGCCGGCTTTTTCCAGCCGCCAAACCCAGCGTCTTAACTGCCGACCATCCTTCCAGCGAGCAAAAAAACAAAAAAAAAGACAAGGAAATTGGACCTCATCTCTCTCCTGACCCCTGTGACGTCGTCAGCTCTGACCCTTGCAGCCCCACCCACGGCAAGAAAAGGACGCCCACCCCAGCCAAAGAGGGGTAACCGCCCAGTGTAGCCAAGACTGCCAGCATGGGAAACCACGAGGCGAGCCGGCCGAGCCCGTGAGCACTGACCAGTGTCCAGAGGACGTAGATGGTGAAAAGGGCGATGGTCAGGGCGATGAGGCCAATGGCCTCCAGGTGGCTGTTGAACTGCATGTGGTCCTGGGCGCCGCGCAGGCAGAGCCAGCCCGAGATGGCCGCCAGCGGGGTGATGAAGAGGAAGCAGGCCATGTCGCAGAACAGCGTCCGCTTCTCGTTCCGGGGTCCGGGGTGCTTGAGCCACTGGAGCGGGAAGACAAAGAGAACATCAGGTAAATAACAGAGTCGGGAGGGAACCTTGGAGGTCTTCTAGTCCAGCCCTCCCTGCTCAAGCAGGAGACCTTAATCCCATTTCAGACGAGCGGTTGTCCAATCTGTTCTTAAAAACGGGCGTCTCCACCCCGTTTGAGACAAGCGGTTGTCTAGTCTGTCCTTTTTCTTTTCTTTTTTTTTAAATATTTTATTAAATAAACATTAAAAGCAGCTGAACACAGTGCGACTTTCCTGGCCGTCATTTTGGCCGTACGAGCTATAGTATAGAAATAAATATAACACTTAATTTTCCCTTTTCCCTTGTTGATATAATGCTAGTTACATATTTGTGTCGATTTGCATTTATATACATATTTACAGCTCAGCTTCTTATCCATCTCCTTTTTTTCCCTATGTAGTTTTTATAGGCGTCTCATGTTGGCCCATTATATTTCATTTTCCTTAATTTGCAAAGCTTTTACTTTCGGTCCTGTAAAGCATCAACAATTTCTTTCTTTTTTCCCCCCTCGATTCCGGTCTGATCCATTTTACTCCCGACTTCCTAATGCTCTGTGTCTCACCCTTATCCTTGATTTCTAGTCTGTCCATCTCTGCACAGACTAATATTTCCCGGATTATTTCGCTTTCTGTAGGGGTCTCTTCATTCTGCCAGTTTTGGGGCGATCTAGTCTGTTCTTAAAGACCTCCAGCGATGAAGCACACCCACCACTTCTGGTGGCAGGCAGTTCCACTGGTTAATTGTCCTCCCTGTCAGGAAGTTAATCCCAGGTTGCTTCTCTCCTTGATTCATTTCCATCCGTTGCTTCTTGTCTTGCCTTCTTGGTGCTTTGGAGAACAGCTCGACCCCCTTTCTTCTTTGGGGCAGCCCCTCAAATACTGGAAGGCTGATATCCTGTCCCCCCCTGGTCCTTCTTCTCACTAGACTAGAGATTCCCAATTCCTGCAACTCTGCTTCACATGTTTTAGCCTTTAGCGCCCCCAATTCTCTTTCCCACTCTTCACTCTTTCCAGCGTCTGAACGTCTTCCGCAGACGCTGAGAGGAAGGAGAACATCAGGTGGAGGGGAAGAGTTGAAAGGGGGAAAGGGGGGGGGGGGGGTAGGAGGAAGAATGTGAGCAGCCAAATCTCCGGCACTTAACCCCAATTAAATCCTGAGTCTCGAGCCAAACTTCCAAAACTTCAAAAAGATTTATTGGGAGTTAACATGCCGGCACTGCCTGGGTGTAGCCGACTCTGAGACACTGTCACCCTTGACCCTGGTTTTCCCCCCCCACACCCCTCTGGGTGTATCGTAATTCATATTCTCCGATGGGACACCTCCATAGCTCAGAGTCATCAATCAGGCTCTCCAGTTAGAATTTTGCAGTGGCAGAAACTTCAGTCGCCTAGTTACTCTCTTTGAAAAAACATTTATGGAATGCACTTTTGATTTCCAAGCTGCCGCGCTGCTCCCCCCTCCTCCCTTTCTGTTAGCAACTCTAAAAAGACCAGAGAAATATTTTATGAATTGACACTCAGCTGGCTCCTCCTGCCAATGGACTGGTTCCACGTGCCCGACATGGCTTTGAGAGGTGTCACTTGAAGGTCACCTCAGGCCACCCGTAAGAAGACCGCGATGGGTCGCGTCAAGAATTGCTAGTAAGGGCAAGGAGCCGAGGGCGAGGAAGGGAGCGGAGCCTGTCTCGTGGCGCTCAGGGTCTCGAACCTGGGCTGCCGGCTTTCCAAGTGACAAGCCCGCCCCGATTCCTCCAACCCGTCGAAAAGTCGGTCCCAAGTGGGTCAAGTGACAAAACACCCACGTGACGAACACCCCCCGCCCCCCCCTCCATCATTTCCAAAGACTTTTCCTCTGGGTAGGGACCAAGGGGGAGCGGGGGAGACACACACCCACCTCCGTCAGAGGCCGGGGCCGCCGTTCCACCATGAACTCCGTGTGGCAAAGCTCGCAGTAGCTGGTGTTGGAGGAAGACAGCCACTTCTCCAGGCAGCTCCTGTGGACGGTGCCCAAGCTGCCGGTGCAGTCGCAGGGCGAAAGCAGGCCTTCCCCGTTCCCACCTTCGTGGCAGATTCGACAGATCGGACCATCGCTAGAAAAGAGGGGGCAGAGACCGAGGTAAGAAAACCGCCACGGGGTTCTCCGGGGGGGGGAAATGGGGAGCCCTCCCGTTCGTTTTGGGAAGTGTGCGTCGTGGCCGATCGGCCGCCAGCCCCCCCGCCCCCCAAAACAGCCCAATCAGAGGAGGCAGATGGGGAGGCACGGTCAACATCGGGACAACCGGGGAGCTCCGAAGGGGAAGAGGGAATGGAGCTGGCAGAGAGAGAGAGAGAGACAGACAGACAGAGGCAGAGCCTGGGCCATCCCATCAGCCCTCGGGTGGAGAGTCAACAGCCCCCAGGTCTGGACGTGGCTGATGCGGAAGAGGAGGAACAGCCGGGCCCAGTGCCTGATGAGCGGATGCAAAGAAGGGAGAGGAGAGGAGAGCAGTGGAAATCTATGGGCTGGTCCTTGGGATGGAAGAGCCATGGCTGCTAGCGAAGCCCCACCCTGACTCTGGGGGAT